ATAGTGACGGCAGTGAGATCTGGAGGTCATGGTGAGGAGTTCTTGGTTTGGGGAGGGGGGAGGGGAGTCCTTCATCCATTGGCTGGAGATCCGGAATCTTCCAGTTGGATCCTCCCATACATGTGTCATGTGACAATGAAATGGAGATCCTGATTGGTCCATCATGCGGTCCGCTGTGTAGAGGGAAGTGAATTGTATTTTCATATTATACGGCCATCTGCCACCCCTGACCGCATGTGGTATGTCCTCCCGGGTGTGACCACATCTGTCCCCTCTGTTCAATATTCATCAGCCAACGGCGCTACTGTCCTTGTGTCGTCCCCCGGCCCCGTATGCCGCCTTTGACCGCATCCTTCCTGCACATCTTCCACGACATTCCCCTCTAATGCCCCTGACCTGCAAAGGTGACTCCACCCATCTGCATGTGCCTCCTCCCCCTGCTGTTTAGTTGTCATGTGAATGGTATCCACTTTAGATCATTACATTGCATACAGCTGCCCCCCCTCCCCCCCATCAGTGTGACCCTTGTGGGTGGGGCTTGTCTCTGGCTCCTCCCACTGTCAGGAAGGGGATGTATTGTAAGCAGGTTTCCTGTACCTCGGTCTCTATAATTCTATGTACGCCCACACTGTGCACATGCTTCTCCTCCTCCGCTCTGTGGCCGGATGATGAAAGGCTGTAAAGTTTTCTATGTAAGATATTAGAATGTATCATATTGTTATATTCCGCTTCAATCGGGTGACAAATCGATCAATAAAGCTTTAATGGTGACTGTGGGGACGTGAGCCGGATCTGTGACACTGCTGTGAGAACGGACTAGGGGCCCCCCAATGGACTAGGGGCCCCACATCACTAGCCCCAGATCTCATGAAGAGTCCACAAGATGCTGAACAGGCAGAGGAGCCGGTGCTCACCCGCACGTGTACAGCAACCTGGAGTGTTCCTTTAAAGTCCAATCCCCGCCCACAACCGGGCTCCTTGTTTTATGTAGAGTTAGAAGGATGACTCTGAAAGTCGGGCCCCTGGTTGAGTGTCGGGGCCCCTGGTTGAGTGTCGGCCATCACAAGTAGTATCCCCCTAATAACAGCTCATTGCATAGAGTGTGATGCCAGAATTGGGCAGAGACCTGCCGACCATCCACTACACGTGTGTCTGAGGTTCCCTTAGGCTGCTGTGGTGCCCCCCCCCGGGGGATTCCCCCGGCCTCCTATAGGCTCCTCCTCAGCTTCTGCTCCGCCTCTTCCAGGTTGAAGATG